ATTTCTTTTCACAAATCTATAAATCATTACAAAAATCCATCTTGCTCTTTTAAATGTTTCATTCTGTTTGAAACCAAGAGATTTTATGAAGCATAAAGGTCTTAATATACCAGAAAAGGCTTTTTTTTTTTTTTTTTATCATGTTTAATTCTTAAACAGGCCCCCAACAGGTCTCACACATCTTCAAATTATTTTACTCATTTAAATGTTAAGGAATTCTAACTATTACTTTCATTTTTACTAGAAACCTTCATCTCTGTAAGCATTACTTTAACCATCAACTTTAAGTTTGACAGTTGAGTCACTCACTCAGTATGTACGCCATTTATATTTAAATGCAGCTCAAAGGATAAAGGCGGGAGGGGGGCTGCCATGCTCTGAGATGAGGTTGATGTCCAGGGGAATACAAATGTATGCAGATCGCTGCTGTGCAACAAAATCAGACAAGAAGTTTAGACAAGGATCTGACGTGTACATTATTAAGATGAGGGCTGTGATGTTTAGAGTAAATTAAAATTTGCTTTATTCATTACAAAACCAGACATAATAGTTGTTTGGATTATGGATGCTGACACTGGATTAAAAATAATCAAGTAAATGTTTGGAGTATATGACATACATGAACATGGAAGCAGACTTTAAAGAACTTTAAGGCTTTGCAGACGGACGGTCTTTTACTTGACAGAAGCCATTTATAACTTCATGCATATTACACTATTATGAAAAAGAGATTTAGAAGATGTAAAAATAGTTTGCTTTAATAAAATTGCCAGTCAAAAGGTTATTTCTCCATAAATTTATGCTATTTGTCTGATTATATGCAATGGGGATTTCATGCACTGCAGTATAGTTCTCCTACCACACTGCTTATTTACATTTAAATGACATTTATAGAGAAAGGGATTATCTGTAAACTATTTCTTTAAGCTGCAAAATGCCTCTTAAATATCTTTTCGCATTTAAAGAGGACTTATTTAAACTTTACAATGCTGCCCCCTTGTGGTTAAATGACCAAAAGGCAGCAGTAGATTTTCCTTCACTTGAAAACTGGATTTAGGCTTATCAAGTGTGCATGTCTCCTCATTAAATGTGCATTACATTGTGGTTAGTGCCTTGTCATTCAAGCTGAGATCCATGTCTTTCCTCAAGGTTTTTCATATGTAAAACATTATTTTGTTTTTCTTTACACTTCCTTGATAGACCAGAATATTATCCTGCACCCCTAACTCATGCTGAGCTGCACCTCTTTACCATTTTCACCGTGACAAGAACATAAATGGGAATTAATTAAAGTGATGCTTGTTCTGTGGAAAGGCCATCCGCACTTCCCGAGGATTTGAAATCAATGAGGCAGAAATTGAGCTTTCAGCATCCTCAAGGAGCCAAAGTCAACGGACCCTGACGACACAGATGATTAATGAGGGGAGCCTCTGCTGAGCAAGCAAGTCTTCTCTCAAAAGACTCACATGGTCAAGTTTAATGTGGCTGGAGAGCATGGATTTGATCCCAAGATGTTTGGCAAACCCAGTCCTGCTGACATGTTTATCTCCCTGTTCAGTCTCAAAAGATAAAGTCAGATTACTTTGTTTTTTCCACTGAAGGACTGAGACTAGATATAAAGACTACTGTCTGCTAGATACTGGGGTTACCTCCTCGGCCTAATGCTGTGTTTCAGACAAACGGCTGATTTAAAAATTGCAATTATCTTTCTAAACAGGTGCACTGCAAAGGTGTGTCTAAAACCAAAACAGAAATACAATCTGAAGGAAAAACAAGATCAAAACAAGGAAAATGATTTATCCATGTGGCATGATAGCTTTACTTCTCAAGATTTATTGATTTATAATTGCAGTGTAAAGTTGAACACTTAAAATTAGAAAGATAAATGATTTAACACTTCCAAATCTAAGTATTTGTTTTTTCATTTTGTTATTTAAAAAATAAATAACTAACTTACAATGTAAGACCAAGGAATACAGCTGTGCGAACAATGGATAAATTTAGAGGAGAGTTATGTAATAAAATGTTATCAAATTATTTTTCTTTTCCTTCTTTCAAATTTAATTGGAATAGGACTTGGCAAAATGTTGACAGACCCTTAAAAAGCCCTAATCGCCGTTACATTGATTTAAAATACTGCCATGCAGCATATTTAACACCAGTTTTGAGACATAAGATGGGGGAGGCACCTGATCCCTTCTGTTCATTCTGTCCCCTGGGAACCATAGGCTCCTTTATGCATGTTGTTCGGGAATGCCCAGCGGTTTAGGCATTATGGGTTAAGACTGATAGACTAAAGTGTCTTTGCCCTTGGAGCCTTTTTTACATTTATTAAATGATGACATCTTTCTTTTCATGAAGTAACATGGAAAATATGCCTTACCTCAATCCAGAAACTCAAAGCACAAAGATGGAAAACACTCAATGACATGTCATGAAATCATTGGTGGCAAAGCTTTTTCAATACTGCATGCTGCATACACTGGAAAAAGTATAACATTGCTCAAACTAAAAAAAAAATTATGTCGAGATATCACATCTAAAATATTTGACATCACAGAATCTGAATTTAATCGCTTGTTATGACCTGATTATATTATGTTGATGTAAACAATAATTACTTACTTTTAACTAAATTAACAATAATTAATGTTTGTATAGAAACCAGTTAATTTAGACATAACCAAATTAGATTTTTCACATATGAGAATTTAGGCAAGCCAATTAACCTAACAGTCATGTTTTTGGATTGTGGGTAGAAGCCAGAGTACCTGGAGAGAACCCATGCATGCAAGATCATGGATTCGAACCCACAACCTTCTTGCTGCAAAGGAGAAGTGCTACCCACTGCACCACTGAACCACTGTGTCATGGTCTGGGACTTGGACTTGATCACGTGCTCTGAATGCATGCAAAGCGCAGTGACATATTGAGAGAAATCAATATGTATATTGATTTGAGTCCTTTATTGATTGGGTCCTTTCTACGTGCATTTATTTCAGGTTAAATCACACTTGATGTATCAAAATCCAAAAAGAATGATTTACATAATCAAAGCAATAATTTTATCTAGTTTAGTGTGAAAAGCATTAGTTTGAATGAACAATTATGTGTTACACTTTTTTCAGTGCATGGAACTATCATCTGCCAGTATCAACAGGGCATATCGACGGAAGATTACAGTTTGGGTACCTAAAGTTTATTATGAGCACAGTGGACTGAGATGCAGAACATTGTGGTAGGGGTGGGGGGGCGAGAGGGAGGCTGGGGGATAAACTAAATAATTATGCACATCAAAGTGTCATTGTTTGAGTTGTAATTATAAATATTCTCAATTAAAATTTGGTAACAAAAAAAAAAGATTTTACTTTTCTCGAAAGTTTCTAATTTATCATTCAATTCAATTCAGTTTATTTATATAGCGCCAATTCACAACACATGTCATCTGAAGGCACTTTACAGTTCACAGTTCATCATCTGAATAGCATGACGATCTAGCCATCAAACTCAACTGGTATGACAGCATGAGAGATTATGATTAGAGAAGCAGCAGTGTGAGCATGATGCCTCTGGAGGAAAAGAAATGTTTCACAGCTAAGGTGACAGAATCTGTCAACGCTACAACTATCATCTGTGTGCTCCATAAATCTAGGTAAAAAAAAAAAAAAGCTAGTTCTTAACAGAAACCCAGTAGAGAGCTGGTGTTAAATTTGCATACAAGCCATTTGTGTGACCAAAGGTGGAAGATGATTATTATTTAATAAGACAACAGCGTGGTTTCTGGCAAAAACGTTGTGCACAAAAAACATATAATTTTCAGTTTTTCTTGCCAGAAACAAGTTATATTTGGAAAAACTCTAAAAATGCCACTTTCTGCTGACTTATAATTTTTTATCCAAACTGTTATTTTGTTAAATTTCATTCCCAGCAATACAGCATCCCATACTGCCTTAAATCTCCATTTAGAAAACATAAAATGATCCATACCTATCCATCTCTACAGATACACATTGACAAATTAAAATCTTTTTTTTTTTAGAACATTCACTTTTATAATTTTTTTTTTACAATCTTGTTGTGCTTATTTTTATCTCCAAAGCTTCTGCTGGCCATTATTACAGGCTTAAAGGGTTTTATTTAAGTCTTAATGAGTAGGTTATATTTTCCATTTTAACAATCCCCTTACTTTTTGAATCCATAAGTCGAAGGAATGTGGTTCCAATTGTATCCACCTGATTGTAATGCATTTCAGGGCTGCTGTAAAAAGGACATTTAACAGATATACTTCGGATCGTCCTCTCAAACCATTTGGTATAATACTAAGAAAGGCAATCGTTACATCTTTTGGTATAACTTTTGGAGATATGGTTTATAGCCCTGTACATCTCATCCCAAAAGTTTCAAAGTTTGGGGCATGACCAAAAAATTTGTTTATATATGGGGTCCGCTGAGCCACCGTTTCTCCAACACAAGCTTGAAACTAGGATCCATCTTGGCATCTACGTCTAGGGTCCTGAAATACCTGCTAATAATTTCCATTTAAGTTCCCTCGAGTTTGTTACTCGATGTGCCTCAGTCCAGACTCTCTCCCATGTTCCGAAATTATTTTGGAAGTCTCTCTGCCTCCCATCTTTGTTTTTTCCCCAAGTTAATGTTCATTGACAGAAATATACTATATACATTTGCTATCCAATTTTTTATCCCCTCCCCCTTTCTGGAAATGGATTAGGAGGTTTTCTACTGGTGTGGGATTTAGTACTCTATTCCAGTCCCTGTGTACCAACAAAAAAGACAGCAATTGTAAATGTCTAAAGAAATCACTTTTCTGGAGATGAAAATGTCTTCATAACTCTAAATGACATAAGGTTGTTCCTGTCGATCAATTGATAAAGAAATGGAAGCCCCTGATCAGCCCATTTAGAAAACTTTTGTCTAAGAAGTCGGATATGAAGGATTTAATATGTCGACTTTGCATTTTTTTATTTAGATTTTACACATTAATTTCCCCACATAGACTCCATTATAGACAGATTTGTTTTAACCCAGGACCAAAATGTGTTTTTGTTTTTCTTTTTATTTCCATCTTGGTCCACGACATACAGTACAGATACTCAAAGGCAAAAGAAAAGAAAATTATTTTTTTTTGTCCAGGTCTGGGACACAGTGAGGTAACAGACAAATAAATTATTCAGTTGCTTAAAATCACTTTCCAATAATCATATCAATAATACAAAAAAAATGGTATCAAACACATGATGCAATAACTTCATTAACACATTCATATTTTTGCTCCCCTTCTATCCAGTCACTAAGGTGTTTTTGTTTTTTTGAGTCCTTGTCTGGAAAAAAAAATGTCCCTTTAAGCACAAAAATGAAGAGCAAAGTTTCACTTCCAGGCATCGGTCATTCAGTCAAACATCATATATAAGCACCTTAATTAAAAACTGGGTAGTTATGCAACTTTTGCTTCCAATACAATTTTCATGATTACGTCTCAAATTAGTGGATCTGATTTACAATCATGGCCAAGGCAACAGGCATACGCAGTCAGGCACACGAGGCTACGACTCCAATAAGCTGTTAACTTAATTTATCACTTTACATTCAGATATACACATATGTTTTCTTTTAACTGTGCCTTTCAGCTTAACAGGTTAAAAAGAAGGAAAAAAAACAACAACATGCCAATAGGAAAAAGTCAGAGATTGTTTCCAAAGTGCAAAAACGTATTCCTTCAAGAGTTGGTGCGCATCCTGAAAAGAAAGTCGCCCACCAAAACTTTAGTCTAATAACAGTACGAGCCATTTTCATAGATTAATCCGCATGTTCCACCTCCCCTTAACACCCATCTGGATTGTGGCTACTTGTATGACAACATGGCTTAGTGCCAGAAGAGCGCATCACTGCGCACAACTTCAGGCAGGTTTCCAAACACTGACAGATTCCTAAAGCTACAGGATTTATCCTCTTCCTTTATGAGCACTGATCACTTTATATCATAGTCCTGAAGTGAATGGGGGAGGCAGGAAAAGCCCCTGTTTGAGATAAAGTGACATCACATTATTTTGGTTTGTGGCCAGTGCAAATCAGCTTCTCCAGCCCCATTTTCTATTAATTTATCCTTTATCTAGTCTAACTTACTGACAAACAGCTGTGAATTTGTCAAAATTGCCACATATAATATTTTTATATCACATATCTGTCATTTGAACACTTTATGATACAAAAAAAAGGAATAGAACACAAAAGGTAATGCTCATACAGTATTGATCAAGGTTTATCACACCACTTACAAGCACATAAGGAACCAAACCCACATCTTTTTTCAAAAGGGTAGAAGGAAGTGGCTCATGTACGAGTGGGGAAATAAAATCCTGTAAACATGGCTCTTACTACATAACAATGATTCTTTAATTTCTTTTCTTATAATTGTAAAAACACATACTCCACAGCGGACACGGCCACAGTCTGTACGACACATTTTTTATTTCCATCATGCCACTTTTCTTCTTCTTTTATTTCCAATAAAAACAGAACAAAACATGACCTCTTGGTACACGTTATGCCCTCCGTAAACCAAATCAACTGAAGCGCCTCCAAAGTTACCGTCACCACTTCCACATTCAGTCATACCATCACCTGTCTCACTCACTGGGAAACAACTGTGGACTTATTTACCCCCAAAACTGCTGTAGTGAGATATTATTTAATTAAAAAAATAACAGGCGCCACTTTGTGCCAGTTATTCCCTTTTCTTCACTCTCTTGAAAAGACTCTCAAAGAAAAAAAACGTATCTCCATATTTCCACCTCTCAATAGGCTTTGAAATCTTGCGTTCAGCTCAATGATTAAACAATCAGCTGTTCTGTTACAAATAGAGGATTGAGGCTGGAAAATAAAACCCTTTGAAAGTTAGAAGAGGAGGAGAAAGCAGTCTGTCCACCATGAGGGGAAACCTTTCTGTTCAGCCTCCGTCTCTCAGGATCCAGGAAGCTGTTCGGTGACACATCTACCCCCTCCTGGGGTCTTGTGCTCCAGTAGTTGAACACTGCTGGGGAGTTCCCTGACATCCAAAGGTGTGTTGGGTTTATTTTGTGTGTGTCGGGTAGCTTGCGTATAAAATGAGAGATGCAGAAGAGAAGGAAGGTCACAATATGGCACAGTGGAACCTGTGGGAACCAGTGGAACGTTCTGCTCTCCACTTCATCTTCTTTTTCTTCTTCTGGTTTCGCTCTGGGACCTGTTGTCTGGGAGGGGACAGAAAGGGGAGCATTTAGCAAATCTGTTATTAAGGAACCAAAAATATCAAATTATCTCATAAGTCAATTTTAAGAACTGTAAAGAAATTGAGACATTCAGCTTTCCGGAACTTATACAAGAACATATTTTTAAATATTGGGTGAAGACAGGTAACTCCCCCTCATGTTTTATCAGTTTTGATGATGAACACGTACCTTAGTAATTTAAAAGTTGATATTTCAAAGCATGCAACAGTGTTAAAGGTTTAAGTATTTATTAAAGATGCATCTGTTGCATGATCAAAGTCTTTTTAATACATGGATTTTTTTTTTCTCTCAATGTATTTTTATTTATACATCAAGTTTGAAAAGCTGAAAACTTTAATACAAAAATTACAGGTTATTGTAGATGAGCAGCAAGAGGAGGCAAGAACATGTGCAATTTATGATGTGAAATTACTATATATATATATATATATATATATATATATATGACACCCTGTGCCATAACCCTGTATAATAATCCTGCTATGAAAATGAAAAAAGCTGTCATATGTGAACTGCACGCCCTGTATATACTGTATATGTATATCCCATGCATCTTCTTTTTCTCTTTTTCACTATTCAAGCTGATGTAACGAGTACATTTCTCCACTGTGAGATCAATAAAGTCAATCAATCAATTACTTTGAGAAAAAATTGATGAAACACTACAAGGGTTTATTGTCTTCAGTAGTAGGGAACAGCCTGTATAACTAGTCAACATCTGTTATTTTTTCTGAGGGCAAAAAGAGTCTCACAATTTGTGAGGGAAAGACAGCGGAACATGGCAGATGTCAAAATACTTGAATAATATTCATTAAGCTAAACCTGTATGCAAACCTGCTGTCTGAACTTTTTACTGAGCTGAGTTCCCCCCTTAGTGTTGGGGGGTTCAGGTGAATCATCAAGGTGTGGGCTGTATTCCAGTCTGGGATACTACAAGATTGTTACGTTAGATACAATACAGAAAAAAATGTGCCAGGTCGTTCTTGATGGGAATGAAAGCATGAAACAAGCAAGATAAGTGAGTGTTTGAGAGAGTCACAGTGACACTCTTAATAGATGACAGAGAAGAAAATAAAACTCTCAGTTCATCACCACCAACTATGGAAAAAACTAAAGGTTATGGTGCCTGGGAAGGAATCTCAGACCCTTCAAGATATGAAGCGAGTTTGTGAGAAAGAATGAGTGCAGCTCATACCAGAGCCATGGATGAGATCCCTTTGTAGAAAAAAAAAAAAAAAGGCTTCTATTACAGGGAGATGCAATTCTACTTTAGTATTTAGATTTCAGAAGTGTGTTCAGAACTTACTCTCAGTTTCAATTATTTTATTTAGTTTTTTTCAACCCATCACTTCCATTTGTGCACATATAATTTCTCCTCTCTGTGCATGGATTACTTAGGTTGTGTGAGGTTAACAGTCTGATGGAAATAATTAAAAGGAAAACATTTTTTTCAATTTTTTTTTTGTTTTTGCTAAAAATAAATATAAGCAACTGTAATAGCATAAAAAAACAGAATTTTAAGCTCAGAGATTTGAAATTCAGATCAGCTGAAAAAATAGAGGAAAGAACAGCTTTTAATTCTTTAAGTCTTTGTGGGTTACATTACTGTAATACTACATTCTTACCTCAAGATGGCAATGTTGTTTTATTAACATATTCTTCCAGAGTTTCTTCACCAACCAAGAAGAAATCCCTCTTAATAATGAAATCCTATGGAATGGTTCCATAAATCTTTCGCCAAATATTCCAAGAATGAAAGAAAACTTGTTTTAATCAGCAACGTTTCTCTAAAGTTAATAAAACAAACAAATGACAAACGACTAATGTTGGCTGTGCAATACAATAGCCAACCATTATTTTGGTAATTTCGGAAAACTCAGAAGTCTAGCGTTCGCATTGATATAAAGCAGATACAGCTCACTTATTTAGATTAATTAGAGCCCTAGGATTGTTACTTTAAAATGGGGGATTACATAAATTAATTCTTTTGTCAGTTACAAAGCTGTTATATGGAGAAATATATATTATTGAAAGTAAAAAAAATCCATTTAAAAAAGAATACAAAAATTGAACTCTGAAAACCTGCTCATTAAAAAAAGAAAAAGGGTAAGTTATAATTTGAATGCAAAAATGGAGCTGACATTTTTGCCGTTTGCTATACTTCAGACTTAATTCTTTTATACACATTTTTTATTTGAAAATATCTATTGTTTTAAAGGAGAACATTGGAAAAAATAACAGAAAAGAAAAAAAAATATTGGTATTGAAAATGTTTGTTCGACTTAAATAAATTCTAAAATAATTATAAATTGGAATTAAAATCTTTTTAATCAAGCAGTTTTTAAAGTTCCATTTTTGAAATGTGTTCTTTGCTTTTAACATGTAAACACATTTTTATTCCACATTCTCGATTTATTGCATCCAGCAAAGCAATGAATAGCTTCATGACCAAGGATGTTACTGCTCAAAAATCAGACCACTAAGTTCTCAGGAAAGTGTCTGTAAGCCGATTCAGGAAATGGGGTTTGAGTTGCCACCAGTGCAGTGCATGCTCAGGAGTGGCAGCAGACAGGTCTGAGTCTGTCTGCAGAAAGTGAGACGGAGATTTCCTTCTTGCCCAAGGAAGCAGCTTTACTGAAGCTCATGTCTTAGAAAAGATACTGTTATAAAAAGGAATTCAGGAGCAACTTAATTAATAGTTTTACCATTAACCTTTTGACTCAAGGATCAGAACACCCCATAAATATTCAACCCATCTAGAACCTTAAATTCTATACTGAAATAGGATTTGGACCAGAGGCTGAAACCAAGTATGCCAGAGAGAAATAGCTACCGCTAATTTCATTCAGTCACATTTTGACAGGTGACACATTGATTAATATCTTAATCTAAGGTGTAACGACTGCTGTAACAATGAAGATGATTTAAACACTTTTAAATCCATTGGGATTGGACCTTTTCTTGAATCAAACATCCATTCTCCCAGCCTTAGGAACATGTATACTAATGGCTTGGAAAATCGTAGATGGTACTAAATAAAATATTATTTGTAACCGTGTATATCTTAAGGTAGATATGGGACCCTCATTTTGCAAATTGTTCTCGACCTCAGCTCTCACATGAAGTCCGAAAAAATGTCTAGGCAGGATAAACTGGCAGCTGAACCGTCCCTTGCCTGCCAGTTGAAATAGGCTGAACCTGTAGGCACATTATGCCATGTATGGGGGTATGATATTGGGCAAGATTAACCAGAGATTTTGAGCTGGTGTTGTTTTTAAATGCACCCAGAATGGCCTTGTTCGGTAGCTTGAGATAGAACTTATCTTCACCCAATGGATCTATAGCTAGGATGTGAGCAGGGGTAAGTAATGCTGCTTCAGCAAGCATCACCAAGCTATGTAACTTGGTGGGCCTAGTTCCTCCATTTTACAAGTACCTGCTTTTCACCCCAGTCAGTTTCTTTTTCAACCCAATAAAACGCATCTTTCCCAATCATTATCTTCTGGATCTCAGGTTAATAAAAAAAAACATCATATATANATTTTTTTTTTCTCTCAATGTATTTTTATTTATACATCAAGTTTGAAAAGCTGAAAACTTTAATGCAAACATTACAGGTTATTGTAGATGAGCAGGAAGAGGAGGCAAGAACTTGTGCAATTTATAATGTGAAATTACACACATACGTATATACACACACGTATATACACATACGTATACACATACGTATACACATACGTATACACATACGTATACACATACGTATACACATACGTATACACATACGTATACACACACACACACACACACACACACACACACACATACACATACATACATACATACATACATATATATATACACACACACATACACTCCTGATCAAAATCCTAAGACCTTCTTAAGAAGGTTCAAGAGCTTAACAATGTTAAAGGAAAAAAAAAGAAAAATAATAATTATTATTTATTTATTTATATAAGCTTGTATAACAGAAAAAGGTTCCTTAGAAGGAATTCAGTCACTATAAAAACCTCATTGGTAAAACTTTGTCATATTTGTGAGCTGTTGAAATAAACCTATACAGGTTTAGAATTTTCGGAAGAAGCCTGCATGGTTGTCATTTTTATACGGGAATGAAAGCTGTGATGACAGATTTTTACCAGATCTTAAGGCCCATCTATATATTTCGTGTGCTGAGAAATACCACCACATTCTCATCATCATAACAGAGGCCGTATGATCACTCGCTGTAGGATATGTGTGATCCCATGTTTTTTTCATGAACACCTAGAAATTACTGTTATGCAACTCCTTTTCAGCAGCGATTTGAAGGGTTTTTATTTTTATTTTGCTCTCTTTAAAATTTGATTTAAAAGCCCCCACCACTTCACAACCCATTTTTCCTTTTAATGCTGACATAAGCTCTTTTTAAGAACACATCAATAACAGTTAATAAAAAATTAAACCCATCGTTCAGGTCTGATAGGGATTGCATGTCAGAGAGATCCATTTGATACAGTTCCAAAGGTTTTGAGACAAACATACTGTTTCTTCAAAAATGTATTTTGGCAGCTGTATGCAATGTGTAGCCATCTTGCTTGGAGAGGAAATCTTTCAATTCTGGTGAGGTTATATCCCACCTCCCCTGTCCCCTACAGAATCTGTCGTGACCACCAAAACCATCTGGGTAAAAATTGTCTTAATACTTTGTTTTTTATCTGCTTTTATCGATCTGCAGAGCAGATGATAAAAAAAACAAACACGTTAATGGGAGCCAGATATCCAGTGAGAAACATTTTATATCTAGACATTTTACTCTAGGTTGTTGAAATATTCTACAACTTGTTACAATTCTTCTTTGTAATATTTTTCATTATTTGCAATATGATATTCTTTTAATCCATCCATAAGCCTCTGATGATACAAATCAACAGTTGCGTCATGAAACTGCTTTCAGGCTTTAAAATCTAATGGATGTATCAGCGATCTCTGCCTCTCTGCGAAAACAGTGTCTGAACTGCAGGGGTAAAGCGTGGAGACTGAAGTCCTTGACCGCTCAATTCAAAGTGATTGTGGTAAAAGTCCTAACAGAGAGGTACAAAGCAGCTGTGTTGTAACCGACTGGGATGTTGGTCCACAAAGCCATAGAAAAACCTGCTCTGGATTTTTCTCACAGATGCAATCATTGCCGTTTTAACAGCAGTAATGATCTTCGAAGACACCCTACTGTCGGTCTCAAAGGATAGCTGGAAATGAGCGCATGTTGCCGTCATCACCCCTCACCACCTCTTCCGTAATCGTACCAAAGGGTTTCCTCTCAGCATCAGAGCAGGTAAGAGAGTGGTAAGAATACATTGTATATATATTGGGTGACGGAAAATGGAGCGATTCAGCATTGTAGCTGACAGATCAGCTCCAGAGTTTCCTGGCCAGAGTCAAGTCTCAGCTGACGGCGAACTCTGTTCATTCTGGCACAGTAGCAACGGGAAAGCATCAATGGGGAAATGCATGTCTTCACAGTCAGAACCTTTCCTTTATATTGATCATGGGAGTGCGTGGAGAATTGGAAGGGAAGTCATTAATTAAACCTGACAGTGTTGAGTGAAGGGGGGGTTAGTTATACAGGTCATCATTCAATGACGAGAGCGTATGAGGGACAGTTCCAAGCCCCATCAATCGAGGTACAAATCATATCATGAACCATATTAACTATTAATCAATATGTCAGCTGTCAAAATGTGAGTTTGGAAATATTGTTGTTATTTCTCTTTCCAGGGTAAACTGGAAAACTTTTGAAGAAGACAGGACAAGACTAAATACATTTGGTTTGCCAAGTTAAGCTGAGCAAAATTCTCAAAATAATTCCCATCTTCGCAATGTTTACTACCGACCTTCAGTTAAGAAAAAAGAAAGAAACACTGAAGCAGTTTAAGAAATTATCATTTCTTTAGCCTTAAAACCTTTCCCCCATGACTATAGGGCTCAGCCCATTTATGACTGTAATACCAACATGTTGCCAAAAGAGGGCATTGTTGATCAATCCAACAATCCTCATCTAAGAATCTAGCCAATCAGAGGCTTCTACCAGTCACTCTGCCCACTCATACACTCAAGCATGGATGTTTTTTCTCATTAGCCAGATGAAGAAATGAAAGCACCTTTGACAGAGATTTCCCCAAACCATCTGATCAAATATTTCTCTCCTGACCAATCAAACCAAACGGAGACAATTCAAACTGGTTAATTCCTCTGAAATTCTACAGCAAGACAAAAACGGACATAAAATGACTAAATAGATTCATCATTTTCTCATGTTTTGCAGGTTTCCTGAAACCCCTCCTAGCTAGCACCATTACTTCCTCTTAAAGCTGCCAATTTTTGAGAACTTAGAAATGCACTAAAAATACAGAGTCGTAAACCAAATGTTACTAGATACGACATGTCAATGTCATCGTCCTAAAATCAAAACAAGCAATCATGTTTGTTAGGAAATTAAAGTTACCTTATAACCCGAACCAGCTCATGGAAGGCTTTGTCCACGTTCATTGGAGGATCCTTTGCACTGGTTTCAATATAAGTAATCTGAGGAAAAATAGAAATAACCAGATTTAAGGAAGCAGAAGGCTCCAACTTATAAACCGTATAAACTTAGGTGATTTTTAGCATATATAACTGAATTCAAATCTGTTTAGATTTTACTGGTAATTTAATTCTGTATGTAAATCAAACATATTTGCCTGATAAAGTGCCTTGCAATGACAGTTATACACTGGTATATATAAGTTGATCATTTTACGGTTTAACAATTGAAAATAATTTTGCTTTTGGAACTTTTTTTATGGAAACCTCAGCACCATTAATCTCTAACCACACAGATTTCCTATATGTGCAATAACTAGAAATCAGCAGGGCTTTTATTAGGGTAATCCAATTAAGGGAGTTTTTCCTCTCCACTGTCACTACAAGCATGCTTAGTGTGAGGGATTGCCTTCGAGTCAATTAGTCGATGCAAACAACTGGTTTTCCTTAGATAGAAAACTTTGACTGTGAAGTGCTTTAAGATGTGTTATGAATTGGCGCTATATAAATAAACTGAATTGAATTTCTCAGGAAAGTGCCTTTTTGTAAATAGTTCACAAATTTATTTTTTTTTATGACTTTTCACTCCCATTCAGCTATCCCAGGGGTCGGCATATTGGACCAAAAAAAATAAATAAATAAATAAGTCTGGAGCCGCAAAAATGTAAAAGCCTTATATAAGCCTCGTAAAGCAACACAGGCTCTAAGTGTATTATCCCACTATAGAAAAGGACTATATGGGCTTAAATATATAATAAGCATTCATGATTAAATGCTTATCCTGAAGCAAACGTCACATAGTAGCCTGAGGTGACGGAGGAACAGTGAACACTCCCATTGTGCACCGCTTCACCACCTTTACTGCGCGGTTTAAGTTTTGTTGCATTGATGAAATTATAGAAACACAATACAGGAATCTTTCTATGGCCGACGTGTTTCTGTTGGGAGGAGTTGATTGAGTCATGAGCAGCCAAGCAGGAACTGACATCAGAGCTGTGCTCTCTAACCCCGAAATCCCACATCCTCCGTCACCATCATTCCTTGGTCTGATTAATATTTTTAGGATTTGGGGGAAAAATCAAACCTGCATCAGAGCTCTACCTGTTTGATCTGTGGATGGTTTTCCATCCTTGCAACCAAACTAGCAGCAGTAGTGGAGTTTGGAAATGCAATCCAGTTCTTAAATCTATCTTTGCGCTCCTCTAATTTATCCAGAAGTTCTGCAATCACACTTTTTCTCTCACTCCCAGCTTGGTGGTGGGCTGCAGATTTAGCCTTCCCTGGAAATACCTTTCCAAATTTTTCTTTTTTTTGACACCCTCTCATTACAAAGCGAAATGCAGGCAATCCTTCAGCATTGATAATGAAAGCAAATGATTCGGTCTATTTAAATCCTTTTTTCTCATCAGCTATCTTCCTTTTTTCCCCTTGGGATCCATATTCCGAGACACACCCACCACTTTGTTTGCCTGGCACCGCCCCGCGCTGGTTGCAAGTTATGACCACTGATCTCTATGGCTATGACACCAATTATTGTTTAAATTTATTTATAATACAAATGTTTAAAGCATCGGAAAACATAATTAGTTTTTGTTTGACCTCCTGGACACCATATTAACACAAAAAATTTTCACAAATTCACAAGGATAAAGAGCTGCATGCGGCTCCAGAGCTGCATGCGGCTCCAGAGCTGCATGCGGCTCCAGAGCTGCATGCGGCTCCAGAGCTGCATGCGGCTCCAGAGCTGCATGCGGCTCCAGAGCCGCAGGTTGCCGACCCCTGAGCTATCCTATGAGCTGCTGATGTTTTTCAACCTCAAAAGTCTACTATAAATTTAGCTTTGCATATAAACATATTAACAATTTCCAAAAAGTTAAAGTTAAAAAACAAACCACTGGACTTTGTTTTCCAAGTTTGTTGAAGTTTCGCTTCCCTTCCAGGAAGCTATTTCCATTCAAAATGTCTGGATTAGCGTTGAGTTCCAAGCTTTTATAGAGTAGCCCAACAAAAGCCTTGTAATGGCTTAGAAATCATGCACATTCTAAGCCATTACAAGGCTTTTTGGAATAACTATGACCTGGATGACTGAGAATCTCCACAAGCACTTTAACAGATTATTTTGGTCTATATAGTTTGTTTTTGTGCCTTTGCATATTTTGTTTGTACTAAACTCTACTAAATAAACCAGTTTGCATAGAAAAGAGACAGCATTGCTGTGTGTGACCTTTAATTAGAGCTTTAGGACTCACGTTATGTTTGGCAGCCATCTCTTGGCCCTGGTCTGTTGTTACCTTCCTCAGATGAACCAAGTCCACTTTGTTGGCAACCAGCACCATTGGGAAGGCCTCTCTAAATGTAAAGAAAAAAAAAACATACTTTTTAAAAGAAATTTAAAATAATTAAAAGACAAATCTATTATCCAACTGCTGCTATATAATTAACTGGTAGCATCTGTTCTTTAATATCAAAGCCTCCAGCAAACATCTTAAATGTCACAGCATTCAGAACATCAGCTGGGTAGAGTGTTTGAGAGGTGCAACATTTCTGCAACACTTCAGCCTTCTGAAAAAAAAAAAAAGTTTAAAGTTTGAGCAAATGTAGACAGCAGCGTACTCAGTTCAACTTTTTATTTCTCGTTTTATTTCCAGGCACAACCATAGATTGAAGAACTCTGTTCTACTCAACATCTCTGACACTTAGCTGTTTTTATCCTAAATTCTTTGCAATAACACATTTTTCTCTTTGCCTAATGACCCAGCCCTGCTGACTCAGAACTAAAAGAGAAAAAAAAAACTGCAGGAGGCTCTGACAACATCACATGCGTGATAAAAATATCAGAGCAGACAGAAATCCAAAGTGAGTAACTTCTGCTTTTCTTCTAAGATACCCTAAGTTTTGCAGATCTATTTTAAAATTATTTAGCTAGTATATTAAATAAGAAAATTATTGAATTATTTTAAATGGAAGCAAAGAAACACAGTTTTATTACTATATAAATGTCTGTTTCATATTAGAAAGCCATTTCCTGTTATGTTAGAAATGCTATATTTAAAAATGCAGAGTACACATTCTTTGGGGGCCCACGGTTCATAGCAATAGGACAAAATTCGCTCTATTCCCTGTAAAGAAAGATGATCAATCAAACGTCAGAATACTCTGCATGATATTTTTAAAACAACAAACTCAGCTTCTCTCATTTTCTGTCCAGCCACTAGATTTATGACGATTAACTGCTCACTGAGAGCGTCAGCGCCGCTTCATCTCACCTGTCTTTGACCCGTAGTATGAGTTGATGGAACCTGTCGACATGTTCGAAGCTGGCCTTGTCCGTGACGGAAAACACGATGAGGAAACCGTCTCCCGTCCTCATGTACTGCTCCCTCATTGCACTGAACTCCTCCTGGCCGGCTGTGTCCAGCACTGGGTAGATGTAAGGGCACCAACTGATCAGAGTTCATCAAAATTCATCAAAATACTGCTTGATACAAGGAAAGTAAAAAAAAAACATGTCGCCACCACCATGCTTGAAAGCTTGTCTGAGTTGTTTTCAAACAGTTGCTGCTTGGTTTTCAGGATGCCAACATCTCTATTTTTCTAATACATTGAATATGTCTACATTTTGTGCAAATTCACTCTCATGGAAACTTAGATTTGGAATTTTAAAGTTTAAAACAAAATAATTGAATTACCAAAATGTCTGACAATATTCATCCACTGGCTATTTATTTCTATGTAAAATAGTAGTTCACTTTTTGCATGAGGTCCACGCCCTCAATGGGAATCTGGAAAATAGAAGCGAATAGATGTTTCCCTGACTTTAAGGTTCCTAGGTTCTGGTTTTGGTTTTAAGTTTATATGAAGCATTAGTGCTAAATATGATGCGTTTGATTTTCTGGACAGTGTTCTTGAAGTCCATTCAGATGTAAGGTGTCAGGAAACTAACCTTTCAAACTCGTGACAGGGCTGGGCAATAGAGTAGTACATATTCTACAGATGATAGAAAATCATCTGTCTATTTCGCTAATTCTATTCTGTGGTTTCTAGTACCTTTTTTTCTCATATTAAAGCAAATATTTCCTAAGGTTGACTACGACGAACTTATTAGTGTAGTCAAGTAGCGTACACACAGTTTTTATAAGTGAAAAACAAGATTTTTCTTTTTTAATCCACAAAGAAGTGCCATCTTGTGATTTTGAAAACATGATGCTGCTTTTAGGCTTTTGACTCGCGCGCAGGTTTATGACATGATTTACGTTACCTAACTCATGAGGTGTGATGGAGATGCAGGAGGCTGACGTCTTAAACCTATGGTTGCAACAAACAGTGAAAGCTAAGCAGGCGGCCCAATATGAAGCACTTTTACCAAAAAGAGCAAGTACGTCTGATTTGGTTATAATTTGGATTTAAGAGGTCTGACACGGAGCAGACCAACGGTTATTTGCAAACTATGCTACAAGGCTAGGTTTCCTCACCCAACGGCAACACAACAAAATACTATCTCCTAAAAAAGAATACATACGTAAGTGACATCATGTGCAAAGTAAAATAAGTTTTGAAACAGTGAAGGGAAGTTGCAAAAATAGAAACCATAGCCAGCCAAAGATTATGGTGTAAAAAAATTTTAATACCTGTAGGATTTTGGAAAATATGTGAAGGCTTCTTTAGCGCTACCTCCGCCTCATCTGTTGTCATCTAATGTATATATGTTGCTGCACTACAATACATTTTTTTCATTTGTGACAGTTCTGTAAATGTCACTTAAAAAAAAAAGAATGCAATTTACTTAATTGGGGCATATTGCAGTACACATTGTTATTGTGATAAAAAAAAAAAAAGTCCATATCATGATATTTGAGTTTTTCCATATCGCCCAGCACTACCGTGACAATATTCAATACCAGGTGTAACCAATTGAAAATCAGCAGGGTCTGAAAAAAGAAAATCATCAACCGGTAAATATCCGGAGACTTTTAATTATAATCTGTTACTTTAAACAGAATTTAATACTGAAATAAAATGAGGTGTTTATGCATCCATATTATACATTGAATTTGAATAAAAACATATTTTTAAAAAATGGAAAATTTTTCCTTTTTTAAAATCTAAGGTGTTTTTTTTTAAGTAGAGAACAACAATCTTTCAGACAATTTCCTGAATCACATATTTTATAAAACACCTGAACTCACAGTTTGTGTTTTGCTTTGCTTTCTTTTTTTGTTGCTTAATGAGAGCAGTAGGCTTTAGGCTGCCCTACAAGGCGTTAAACCTGGGTTTGATTGGCAGCAAAGCCATTCTCAAGAAAATATCAAGGTAGTGATTCGTGAGCCAGGATCGATATTTATTTTTAAAACTGTTCATGTTGGAGAATCCTGCTTCACAGCAGCAGGTTGGGCCAAAGATCCTCTAAATGTGCAGGGTCATCTTTGAGCACGCCATTTCACTTTTCTTTCACCAGTTCACAGCAGTTGTTCCAGCAGTCCACACTTTCTCTGCTCTCCTTTTCTCATCATCTTCTCCTTCTTTTCCATCGCCCGGCTTCCACCGGTTTGCCTTCTGTGTCTAAAAGTAACTTAGCCTGACGTAGTCCGACTCAATTCTAGTCAGAATATGAGTCTGATACTGCTCCATAGAGCTGTGATTATGGGGCGTGTTTCNAACAGTGAAGGGAAGTTGCAAAAATAGAAACCATAGCCAGCCAAAGATTATGGTGTAAAAAAATTTTAATACCTGTAGGATTTTGGAAAATATGTGAAGGCTTCTTTAGCGCTACCTCCGCCTCATCTGTTGTCATCTAATGTATATATGTTGCTGCACTACAATAAATTTTTTTCATTTGTGACAGTTCTGTAAATGTCACTTAAAAAAAAGAATGCAATTTACTTAATTGGGGCATATTGCAGTACACATCGTTATTGTGATAAAAAAAAAAAAAAAGTCCATATCATGATATTTGAGTTTTTCCATATCGCCCAGCATTACTGTGACAATATTCAATACCAGGTGTAACCAATTGAAAATCAGCAGGGTCTGAAAAAAGAAAATCATCAGCCAGTAAATATCCGGAGACATTTTTAATTATAATCTTTTACTTTAAACAGAATTTAATACTGAAATAAAATGAGGTGTGCATCCATATTATACATTGAATTTGAATAAAAACATTTTTAAAAAATGGAACATTTTTCCTTTTTTAAAATCTAAAGTGTTTTTTTTTTAAGTAGAGAACAACAATCTTTCAGAAAATTTCCTGAATCACATATTTTATAAAACACCTGAACTCACAGTTTGTGTCTTGCTTTCTTTTTTTATTGCTTAATGAGAGCAGTAGGCTTTAGGTTGCCCTACAAGGCGTTAAACCTGGGTTTGATTGGCAGCAAAGCCATTCTCAAAAATAAATATCGATCCTGGCTCACGAATCACTACCTTGATATTTTCTTAAAACTGTTCATGTTGGAGAATCCTGCTTCACAGCAGCAGGTTGAGCCAAAGATCCTCTAAATGTGCAGGGTCATCTTTGAGCACGCCATTTCACTTTTCTTTCACCAGTTCACAGCAGTTCTTCCAGCAGTCCACACTTTCTCTGCTCTCCTTTTCTCATCATCTTCTCCTTCTTTCCCATCGCCCGGCTTCCACCGGTTTGCCTTCTGTGTCTAAAAGTAACTAGCAGCAGCCACGCAAACTGACAGCAGCTCATTGGCTAATTTGCATCACATGCAGCCTGGTCCCGGGCGCGCCGGAGGGCTCTACCATATTAACAAGAGAAGCGGCGCAAGTGAAATTAGATACTGTCATTGGACAACATGCGGTAATTTTTAAATGTTTGAAATCAGGTTGGGTCCGGATCTGGACCCCGGTCTGCTAATCCGCGACCTCGTCCCTACACCAAATTCGATACCATGTGGATAAAAAATATTACAAATAATTAAAGGCGTAAAAAAAGCATTTCTATTCAGATAAAAAAAAATAAAACATTTTTAATCTCAGCATGGAGCGTGCTTTTTCACTACACTCACTGATGCTAGTTAAGTAAGTGTTCAAATAATTGCCAAGTAAATAACCCAAATCTAACAAAGTCTGACAATATTTCAAGGTTTTCAGAGTATTATTCTTTAAATGTGCAAATAAACCAGATATCTAAAATAAACAGTAGTAAAAATATGCAAACAACACTTGTCTTTAGTTTCATTACCATGACAGTTTCGTATTGTATCTGGATACAGGATTCAGAGTATTGATTTTTTTTTTTCTAAGCTTTCTCAAATTATCATTTAAATGATGTAAACCATCTCCCTAAATGAAACAGGCACTTTACAGCAGAACAGAGAGTCGTTTGATGTTACATAATTTCTTCCACATAATTTCTTCCACATACAAACCCCTCACTGTGTTATTATTGGTGTCAGAGAGCTGGTTAACCAGGTTTGTTAACAAAATGAGTGATGTATTCCACAAACTCACCATCCAGTATTGCCCACTGTCCATCTATTTCAGTGTGTTTGAGGTACGAGTCCTCAATAGTGGGATCGTAGTCTGGCACAAAGATCTTCTGGAAAAACTGGATGGTTAGAGCGCTTTTCCCAACGCCGCCATCTCCCACCACCACCAGTTTATACGTTGGCAAGTTGTCGCTCGGCACAGCGCTGGTCGCCATGGCTACCTCGACAGTGGTGGGAAGAAGGCTGGAAGGTGGCTGGTGAGACACACCTGGCTGAACTGGAAGACAGGGGGGGGGGTCAGGGAAATAAAGGGGGATTGACAACAAAGGAGGAGAACAGGAGAGAGATGTTGAGGCTTTTTTTGTTGCAGCTGCTTTAGTGATGATCTGTCGTCACCATGGAGACAATAAAGAGAGAATGAGATGGGGCATTTGAAATGAGTTTTAACCAGAGCTTAGGGGGAAATTTAACATTTAAAGCTGCACAGAACACAAAACAATTTAGTGTTATCTAAGAGAATTGAGTGACGTTACAGAGGAAATAATGATCATTTCATTTGTTACCAAAAAAAAAAAGAGCTGCTCAAACCAATGAGGCCTCCTATGAACGGTAATAATTGGTTGGGCAACCCTTGGAGGTGGCTGTCATCAAATGTTTGCAATAGCTGCTATACATCATTAATTTCTTAAAAAGGGAAAAAAATCCTCCCATACAAGGTAATAACAGTCTAAATTCAATGGATACAAACACAATTAATTATTGTCAAACCTGTAAAATCCCTTAAAGATTAACTGAACCACAAACTGATTCTGACAGGAAAAAGAAACCTTTAAAAACTACACATTTTTTGTTTTTTGTTTTTTTTGGGGGGGGGATCCTCTGTTGCAAAGAAACTTGCTTTTTCCTTTTATTCTGTAATGCTCTTCCAAAAACATTTAATGTTGACAATTTGACATCAAGCATTAAAATGTGGCTGCTGCACTCAAAGTTTCCTAGTAGTTAAAATGAAATAACTTGGTATATTTGAATGTCCATGAAGTCAAAGTGACGTAATCGTTGAGCGTTCCACTTTATTGTTTGTGAAATATTATCTTCTCTTAAGTATGAACAATATAGCCATTGTTACAACAAGATTAAAATTAAAATCTAACACTGCTCTGTGTGTTTTCTGACTAGGGCTGCACTTAACTATTTTGCTAATTGATTATTCTATCAATTGTTTGAATTAATAAATGGCAAAAACGTTCCTTAAAGATTTTAGAAAAAAAACTAAAAGTGACGGTAAAACTGTGCCATTTCACAGCATCTGTAAAGAGCACATAAATGGACAAAAAAGGTTTTTCATCTTGTCTACCAAATATTTGGATATTTTTGTACTATTCTAGCTCATAGCTCTTTCAGCTAAAGGCGTATTTTAGAGTCTCTAAACTCAATTTAACAATTAATTGATTGGTAAATGAATTCATTATTTTAATAATCAATTAATCCAATTAAGTGTTTCAGCCCTAATTCTGACTTTAGAGTACAGGTGGAGCTCTTCATACTTAAGAAGTATTCAGTGGCGAGTTGGAGATAACGATACTGAAATAAGAGAGGAATCTCCAACCCAGACATAAAACAGATTTTCCAATTTAATAACCCCATCCAAATCCTGACCAATCATACTACTGTCTCACAATTGCGGAAAAAACACCATGCAAGCAGTAAAAAAAACCCGAGGTAGGACAGAGAGAACAAAATGATGTCACTTTTTTCTCACAGTTGCAGGAGCAAGAACCGATTTCTCGCTTTTCCTGGAGAATACAGCAACTTTTATACTTTTTCACCGGTTTTAGTTGCACTTTGAATGGAAAACATCTAACAGCATGAAGAAACTAGATAAAAAGATTTTACGAAGCAATTCACTGAGCACCAGCACAGATTAAAAATAAGGTCACTGACATCAACAGTCTGCAAAGGGTGACGGAGCCATTTTTACAGGTATTCCTCCCTCCAGACCCACTTTCTCAGCTGCATAAACCAAACGAGTCAGTTTAGATTTCAGTTTAACTGTGAAATATCATGATGACATGTCAGGGAATCTGGAATGAAAACTAGTGAAATAAAGAATTTATTTGCCCCTCAAAGGGGGGATTCAAGTATGTCAGCAGCAAACCAACAGGCAAATGGAGGCACACATTCACATAAGCCATATTAACAGGAAAAAATAAATTGGATTTTTTTTTTTTTTTTTACATGTACATATTAAAATCAACATCAAAATGTCTTCTGGTTAAGAAAGGCAAATAAAGAGGCACTTTATAGACTGTGTAAACATTAGCAGGAATGTAAACAGCTTATTTGGCTTGTTGTCTGTAGTGAAGAAGATGATAATAATGATAAAGTCTAACGACTGACAATAACCTTCTGAAAAATAACCTTCTGGGACACTAGGAAATGTTTTATAAAGTTTATACTGAGTTTTAAAAACATTTGGAATGTTTTTAATCACTTGTTGCTGATGTTCATGTACCTATAATATGCAAAGTATGATTGCAGCGTCTATATCTCCGACATGCTCATAAGAAAATCATTGTTAGAACCCTGCCCTGTAGGCTGGGTCCTTTGAAGACCCCATTAGCAATTAAGGCTGGAAGTGATCAGCAACAGTCCTGCACCCTCACCTCAGCATAACTGAGGTATAACCCCTTTGGTTCATACCAGTATTACTCTGACAGCATGAGGCATGGACCTATGAAGTCTAAACATGATCTTTTAAAACATTATTTATTCCAATGTGCATATTATTTATGAGAGGGAAAAGCAAATATGACAAATATGCATATGCAAAAAGGTTAAGGTAAAACCTGCATAAATTATTATTTAGTTGAAGGTAATGGGTCTTTATTTTTTCATTTTAAATGGAAGACATCAGCAGACAGGCAGTGTTAGGATCATTTTAGTGACCCTGCTAACAAGATTCATAGATTTAAATCAGATTGGATCCAAGTCTTCGATGGGATTGAGTGTGAGGACAACATTAAATTGCAGAAGGCACAACCAGGCGGGTAGTTAAGAGTTTGTGACTTGAAACCCCCATTTGCTATTTAAGATATTTCATAGTGTCCTTTTTTTTTTTTGTTCTTCCTTTTTTTTTTTTTTTTTTATTTGGAAGCACTAGTGCTCCTGGTAAGAAAGCCAAGCGTACAGTCCTAAGGTATATAGGTTATTAGCACAAAAAAAAAGTTCATTTTTGAGTGAGTTGTGCTTTAGGTATTCCAGAATTAAACTGAGTGCGATTTCCATTTTTTTTTTGTCTTGGGTGTGAGACTTCAAGGAGGATGTGAGAACGAGAAAGAGCTGGAGAAAAGAGTAACTCTTTCTACACAGGCTGCTATGAAGAAAGCTGTAAATAACGGTTAAAGAAGATGTGCATTACTGTACACTCACAAAGCAAAGTCAGAGTCCAGGATTTGTCATCTTTGTAAAATAAAAAAATAAAAAAACAAGAAATCTCCTCTAAAGTCAGGCAAACTAAATTAGGTGCATTCCAATCAAAAACCTCAAAAGGTTTCCAAGAAATGAAACAGCATGTGTCCCAGTCTTGCGTTGCGGTTAAAGCTGCTCTATAAATGCAAGAATGCCCTAAATTCACTTTAAAAAAAAAAAAAAAAAAAAAAAAAAACCTTAGCCACAACAGCCTAAATATGATTTAAATTAGAATGACAGCAGACAATCATTTTCAAGTCCAGAACTAGCAGAAATATGACGACTAGGGGGACGGACAACCATAGGCTGCAATTATAACTCCCACCCAAGTAAAAATAACCATCTTTGAACAAAGTGGAAGATTCAGAACCAGACTGTTTTTCAGTTCAACTGAACTCAGACTACAGTTCTAGACAGACTGCGTCGTGGCAAGAAGACAATAAGAGCCACAGACGAGAACCACAAAAAAAGATTGGGACATGTGGGGAGATCAGGGGACGTAAGAGAAGGAAGATGAGATTACTCATAAACAGAAGAAAGGAGCTGAGGAAGCAGGGGCACATGAGGACAGAGCCAACAGTTAGAATTAGGCCTGAGTCACCACAACAAGCACCACCTTTTTATGGTTAGCTTCCTTTTTTTGAGTAAATACATTTTTAGAACCAACCAGCTCAGTACCACTTGTTCCAGTTTATGCACACTAGATTACACTCACATTTAGTTCAACAATCTGCTTTCTTTTAAATGACCAATGAATATAGTTTAATTTTATAGTTTACTTCCTAAGAGAAAGAAAATAGTTAAGTCCCTTATGCAATGTTTTGAGCTACTAATCTCGAATTAGCCTTGTTGAACAACGTTCTACTTTTGACAGATTAAAATGTCAGAGGCGGCATAAATTTACATATACACCCAAGTTCCCTTTCATGATGTCTGCTTTTTAGTTTCATAGCTCTACACACAAAGATGTTCTGCTTAAATAGTCAATTAATCCATGTATTTGCAAAAATTAAGAGTAGATTTTCAAATATTGATCACAGAAGATTTAAATACCCTAAAATACCCACAAAATGGCAAAATGGGAGAATTGAGCATATAACGTAAGATTCAATAATCTTACATGATTTAATTGCCAAGATTAGCAAATTAATGTCCTTTAAAAAACAGCCTCAACAAAGAAGATGCATTAGAAACTAATGATTCTCTGGATCAACTAAAATTGTTCTTGCAGAAGTCAGTAGCTCCCTTAACAACTTCAGCTTGCAGAAAAAGCAAAGTTCTGACTAGGAAAGCTGATCAATTGACCAAGGCGCAAAATAAATTCGTTTTCAGAAAGCGTAAATACTACCCAGCCATCGGTTTTAGCCAAGATAGCTATTTAAAAACAAGGATAGGTCAAAATAACTTACAAAATAGATATTTAATGCTCCCTGTGATCCAAAACTTTTGCTCTTTGCTGTATCTTTTTCTTTAAGTTACCGTATATTATTGACCAACTCATTAGAATCTACCATTGGTATAAAGAAAGACATCTATGTAAATCTGCATTCATCCTTTTCAGCTATTTAATCTACCCCTATGAAAGGATTTTATGATTGGAGTTTTATTCGCATGAATGTTTTAAAATGAGAAGAATTAGTTACAAACAAGCTTAAATCGGGTGCCCTGGTTTAAGACTGTTTTTGGTTGCCATGATCAATATATGAGGCAAAAGGACGAAAATCATAATTCGCTCTTAACTTTAGGTCTGAAACAATCAGTCAATCGGGATTAATCGATAATCTAAGTAATAGTCAACTAATTTAATAA